TACTTCTTGTTGTTAGTATTATATACTATATGTAGTGTTGCAGTGCTGAATTTGCTGTTGTTACCTTCTATGCCAAGCCCCAAAGGCAAATAAAGATCGAATTTATAAAGTTACTGACAAGAAAAGGTAATAATAATGAAAACTGAAAAAAAAATGAGGTATTTGATTTATGTCAGAATCAATTTACAATGGAGTCATTGAAATGGAGCCCCCTTATAAGTTGGGGACTACCTGTATTTAGTTATTATAATTGGGAAAAACAGGCCTGTTAGAACCTTAGTGCACCAATTCTGAAGCAGAACAGCATGGCTTTATTTTTAATATTTAAAGATTTACCTACTGTAACAGGAAAGGTTTTAATCATCAAATAGCATTCTATTTATTTTTAAAATATAGAGTCCTAAGATTTTATGGTGTATTATTGTGTGTCTGTTACATAAACTTCATTTCATTTATATTCTTAATGATTAAGTCAAAATTTATCAGAAACATTTGATTGCCATTTATGTCTCTTGTTTTGACTTCTTTTCTCAGTTGGTAACCCCTTTTTGCCTCTGCTATTTTGAATATTTAAAATGATTTTTCATGTCTTCCTATGTGAACATATGTCTGAGATGCTGCCCACTACTGATACTGGATTTCAGATCAAATTTCATTTTCCAGGGGAGAAGTACATTACTCTGTTTAGTGACCAAATTAAACCAGAATAATTAGCCCAGAAACCTGAACTTCTCCTATTTCTATTAAAATCCTCAGCCGTTCCCTGGAGCAGTACTTCTGTAGAGTTCATCTGCTTCTGCCCTGAGTTGTTGTTCTTTCTGATTGCTGTGCTCTCTCAGAACTTATGAATGGCCCAGCAATACCTCCTCTAAGAGATCTTCAGAATTCATGACACTGTGAAAAAGACTGGATTATGCACCTTAGTTTACTTTCTAGTGCTCTGGGACACTTTCCAGTGCCTTCACTCACTGTCTAATTCAATGGCTAGCTTTTTCATTTTACCAAGAGGTCATGTAAGCAACATGGTGCTATTTCTTAGCAAGGCAACTAGGTTACCTTGTTATTCATCATTATTTCTCCTGTCTATCTTAATCTTTCTTGTGTCCCCTTTGAATTAGTGTATTACCACTCATGATCTGCTCTGATTTCCTGAGGGCGAAGGCTTACTTTAGAAATGTACTGCCTTTAGTTAAGCCCCAGATTACTCCTGAGTGGAAGATTATAGTTGACTTCACTTATCTCAGTTTGCCTTCTTTATCTTCTATTCCATGTCTGAAGGTTTGCTTTCCCTTTAACAGATTTGCTCCGTACTGTTTTTCTAAAGTCCAAACTTATTTATGTATATATGTATGTATGGCATAGATGTGTACATGGGCATATGTATGTTTATGTATGGCTTTGTTGGATAGTATTTTAATGTTTGACATATTATTTTTCTTATTCAGTACTCTTGGATAAAACTTTGTTCATGTGCTTTGCCTTTGTTATCATCTGTTCTTCAACTGTGTGGGAGAGGAGGCACTGAGAGCTTCGCTTAATTGAGTGTAGTGACTATTCCACTTTTAAATTCAAGCTTTAGATTCAGATAATGCTGCTTAATTTCAAAGAATTCACATATGAATGATCTCATTTGGACTTTAGAAAGACCCTGTGAAATGAATAGAGTTAACATTAATCCTTTGGATAAGGAGGCTAAGGTATGAAAACACAAATCACATGCCTAGCTTGTAATATACTACTTAAGATTTGAACCCTAGTCATCTAATTTCTGCCTAGTTTTTATAATTCACCAGTCTGCTAAGATTAGCACACCAGCTGTGAAGTTGTTCCTGTGCTTGGTTGTTGGTGATGTTAGTTGCCATCAAGTGAGCTCTGACTCATGGTGATCTTATAATGGAAATGCTGGCTGCTCCTCCTGCACCATCTTCTGGATGTGTTCTTATTGGCCCTCTACTAGTGACTGACCTTCCAGAAGATGTGTTCTAGGTGGGTCAAGTCTCACCATCTTCGCTTCTAAGGAATATCCTGGTTGTATTTCCTCTAAGACTTATTTGTTCATTCCTTTGGTAGTCCACAGTATATTCAATTTTCTTCTCTAAGCCACAGTTTGAATACATCAATTCTTCTTTCTTTTTCACTATCTAACTTTTGCATGCATATGAGGCAATTGAAAAGACCTTAGATGGCTTGGATCAGACATTTCTTAGTCATCAATGTAACATTTTGATTTACACATCTTCAAAAAGATATTTTTAAGCAGATTTTCCTAATGGAATATTTTGTTTGATTTTTCTGACTGCAGCATCCATAGACTTTGATTGTTTATCCAAGTAAAATTATACTAAGTTGGATAGGTTTAAATTCATAAATAAATCAAGTTGGCATGTTTTGTTATTATGTATGGCAATTAGAATAGTAAAATGCTTAAATGTAAGTGTAGTGTTTTTTTTTTTTTTTTTTTTTACTATGACTTTAGTGGTTTCCAACCCTCCCCATATCTATTCAATATAATCTAAATATATTAGGCTATAGAATCAAAGAATGCAGAAGGAATCTTTGATGCCAATCTTCATTTGAAAGCCCAAGTTGATCAACTTACTGGGAGGAATGAAGAATTAAGACAAGAGCTCAGGGAAGCTCGCAAGGAGGCTATAAATTATTCTCAGCAGTTGGCTAAAGCAAATTTAAAGGTGAGAATTGTACTAAATAACACTAAATGGTAAGCATAGTAACATAGGTTTAATTAATATGAAAGTTTATTTTTTAAAATGCTTTTATTATGAGAAAATGCCTCTGATTAATTCTTTTACCATTAAGAAAACTCCTGTTTATATTTTTCTTTTGAAATTAAGTGAAAAAATAAATGGCTTATAATACAAAAAAGTTTACAAAAATTCTAAATTTTTACCTATACATTTCTTAATAGAAAGTACAGTATTGCTTAATTAATTCTTGGCAGCACATTCATATATATACTTTTCTAAATATTCAGTAGAAAAAAAACATGAATTATAAGGTACTACTACTTTTAAATTTGTCTTTCTTTTGATTACAAAAATGTGATTTTTTTTTTCCCTGGATATTTTGTTTCAGATAGATCATCTTGACAGAGAGACTAATCTTTTGCGACAATCAGAAGGATGCAATGTTGTTTTTAAAGGAGTAGACTTACCTGATGGGATAGCACCATCTAGTGCCCATATCATTAATTCTCAGAATGAATATTTAATATATCTCTTACAGGTACTGTAAATTTACATGTGAGTAACCAAAACCATTGATGATATGTTTCATAATTTAATATTCATGTATTCCTTTGAGCACTCAGGTATTATAAGTGAGATATATTTTTAATGAATTTTGAAGTTAGATCAAATACTATGAATAAACCAATTCATTCCACTTATCTACATGAGAGGCATGCTAACCCTTCTTGCTGACATTGTATGTCAGTCACGTGAAATATGTAATTGATGGATAGTCTAACAAGTAGCTGCTATAAGGTGGTTGTTGTATGCTGAGTTGATTCTAACACTTAATGACCCTATAAGCTGGAGTAAAACCTCCCCATAGGTTTTCCTAGGCTATAATCTCTACAAGAACAGATTTCCAGGTCTTTCTCTCAACCAGCAGCTTGTGGGTGTGAACCACCACCTTTCAGTTAGCAGACAGAGATCCTTTACTGTAAAGTAGTGAGTGATGGGTCAGTCAGATGATCACTTTTATTTATTGCTGATTAGAAAAGCAATTCAAGACAATACAGTGACAGAGCTTTTTAGTGTCATGAGTAAAATTGATCCTTTTTCTGTGGTAACCACAAGAAAAAGCTTTTAAACCAATTTGTCTTTTATCTCTTTCTTCTTTTCTTTGTAAAATATTAGCCTGTCATCTAACTAGAAAGTCCTTGCATTGTGTTCATTTTTTAGTTTTGTTGTCTATCATGTTGTTATGAAAGGCCTGATGTGAGAGGCTTTTCATGATTTCATTGAAGTATAAATACCTATAACATCACAGTTACTACAAATATAACTACAAAATGTGGTCAAAATCAATGAAAATACGTTTCTGTTTATAAGCACCACTGTCATCTTCTCCTTGATGATTTACTGGTTAATATATTTAAGTTATTATCAAATAACAGTTTTAGTGTTTAGAAATTACATTATTTTCTGAGTCTTAGAATTTGAATGTTATCTAACTCAGGTAATGGGACAACCTTAACCTTTGATCATAATACCACTGTATACCAAAAAAAGGAAAAGCAAAACACTGCCATTGAATGGATTCTGGCTCATAACGATCCTTTAGGATAGTATAACTGCCTGTAGGGTTTCCAAGGCTGTAAATCTTTGTGGAAGCAGACTGCCTCATTTTTCTCCTGCAAAGCAGATGGTGGGGTTCAAACCACTGACCTTTTGGTTAATAGCCAAATGCTTTAACCACTGTGCTACCAGTTTATGTTGTATCATTACATTTAAATTTATAATTTCAGCATTTTTTATGATTACTGTTATTTCTTGCAATGTAGAGACACTGTCAACAACTAATGTTGTACTCCTGTTTGATTTAAGAGTCTTGGTATGTTAATTTTTTTTTTTTTTTTCATTTTTATATTAAAAAAAAAGTATTGAGAAGAATAGTGGTAGACTCCAGAGCACCAGATTGAAAGTCTGAAAGCCTGTTCAAGTGACATAGTAGATACTTTTGTTGTTGTGGTTGTTGTTGTTAGGTGCTGTCAAGTCTGTTCCAACTTATAGTGACCCTATGTACAATGGAGCAAAACAGTGCTGGGTCCTGTGCCAGCCTCAAAATCTTCATTATGCCTGAACCTATCACTGCAGCCACTCTGTCAGTCCGTCTTGTTGAGGGCCTTCCCATTTTTCATTGATCCTCCACTTTACCATGGATGATCATTCTCCAGAGAATGGTCCCTTCTGACAACATGATCAAAATAGGTGAGACGAAGTCTGGCCCTTCTCACTCCCAAGGAGCATTCTGGCTGCACTTCTTCCAGAACAGATTTGTTAGTTCTTCTGGTAGTCCATGGTACTTTTGGCATTCTTCACCAACACCACAACTCAAAAGCATCAGCTCTTTGCTCTTCCTTATTCATTGTCCAGCTTTCACATGCATATGAAGCAATTGAAAATACCATGTCTTGGGTTAGGTGCACCTTAGTCTTCAAAGGCAACATAAATTGATGGACGTGGCAAGGCCTTTGGAGTAAGACAAATCTGACCTCAAATGTAGACTCTGCATATACATAAAGCACCTAGCACTGAGCTTGGAATTTCTGCTTGGTAGTTACCAAGTATAGTGTTAATGAGTTTTTTGATGTTGAGTAAATTACTCAAACTTCTAAATCTCTGTTAAGTCACTTGTTGTTGTTGTTGTTGTTATGTGCTGTCGAGTCGGCCCTGACTCAGTGACCCCTCCTTGGGTTTCCGAGGCAGTATCACTATAGAAATAGGTTTGCCCAACCTTTATTCCGAGGAGTGGCTGGTGGGTTTGAACCACCGGCCTTCTTGTTAGCAGTCAAAAATGTGTGTACAAACAAAAGGTGTTTGGGGCTGAGTTGAGTAGAGGTGAGCTTATAAGGGTATGTCGGAACTTATTTCTAAAGAGCCTGAATACTATTTTAAGGGAATGAATTTTATCCTGTAGTAAGTCTTAACTAAGAGAAGAAACATGTTTTAGTAACATGTTATGTTTTACAAAAATACCAGTAGTAGAATAGGTCCATATTACTACTATACATACAGATCTATTGGTAAAGATCCTTTACCAGTTCTCCATACTACTACTAGTACCTAATAGACGAGGCTACTAGAGATTGAAGAACAATTGAAATATGTGTCTAGTATTGTATGAAGGAGTCTGATGATCAGGTAGTAAAGGTGCTTAGCTGATAAACCAAAAGATAGGTGGTTCAAATCCTCCAGGCACTACACAGGAGAAAGGTGATGCAGGCAGTCTGCTTCTTGGAAACCTTATGGGGCAGTTCTGTTCTATCCTCTAGGGTTGCTGTGAGTGGTAATTAACTCATTGGCAGTGGATTTTTAGTATTTTAAGAGTCGAAGAATGTTTGTACCAAAGTAGAATGGGGAAGGTTTAAAGGGGGATGGCTATAAGTGATCCTGGAAAAACAGAATTGACAGACTTGATGACATGTGGAGGATGAGGGAAAAAAAAAAAGTTTTCTAGTATAGAAAGTTGAATACTTAATAGTGGCATAACAGAAAATACAAATGTAAGAAGAGTAAATTGGTGTTAGTGAAAGATATTTTGGTTTGAGTCATGTTACATTCAATGTATCTGTAAAAAAATGTACATGTAGATATGGCATTAGAAATGTAGATTTGAAGCTCAGTATTGACTAATGCTACTGATATAAAATTGGGAGGTAGTGAATTGTTAATTGTTAATAGTTAATTGTTCTAGTACTTTTCTCTTAAAAGTCTGTGATAATAGATGCTTATTCCTTTTCTCTCTCTTTATGCCTTTGAAATCCCATACTTTTCTAAGTTTTCCTGTTCTCTTTTTTTCCTCCTTTACTCCCTTCTTTATTTTTTTTTTCCCTATAAATTACTATAAGTTTGTGCTTACTGTAAATGTTGTATAAGGAGCTCTGGTGGTATGGTAGCTAAAGCATTTGGCTGCTAACCTAAAGTTTGACAGTTCAAACCCACTAGCTGCTCCAGGAGAAGGATGTTGCAGTCAGCTTCTATAAATATTTACAGCCTTGGAAACCCAATGCGCAGTTACACTTTGTCCTGTAGATTATACTCTGTTCTGTTAAGTCACTGTATGTCGGAATTGACTTGAAGGCCATGGGTTTGATAATCATTGTATCTGATAAAAGTTTGTGCTAATGGTAACTTGCCTACAATGTGTGTGCTTACAGTTACTATCATAGAAGATAAGAATAGTTTACCTATTATATGGCACTTCTTTCTTATACATATTACTTCATTTTCATGTGCATTAAACTATGTAAAATACCATAGAAATAATTAGTACTGTTTGGGAATTTGGCGACTTTTTAAAAAATATATTTATCTATAAGCCACTTAGAATACAAGTATATGTATCTTCAAATGTAAAATGTATCTTGATGCCTTTTTTACATTTTTATTTCATTTTCAATTTCTAGGAAATAGAAAATAAAGAAATACAGTTAAAGAATTTAGAAGAATCTCTTGAAGAATATAACAGAAAGTTTGCAGTAATTCGTCACCAGCAAAGCTTATTATATAAAGAATATTTAAGGTATGTGCTGTTATGTGCCGTCAAGTTGCACCTGAGTCATGGCGACCCCTCCTTGGGTTTCCGAGGTAGTATCACTACGGAAGTAGATTGCCCAACCTTCCTTCTGAAGAGTGCATGGTAGGTTCAAACCTCCAGCCTGCTGGCTAGCAGTCAAATGCCTTAGGCACTATGCTACCAGAGCTCCCATCCAAGGTATAGATATTAGCAAAACCTTATAACTGTGTATATTTGTTTGTAATTAAAGTAAAATTAACAATGTTTAGATATTTTGTTTTACTTTTTCCCTTCTGCCTCTCTCCCTCTACTTATTTTTTTAAAACAACAACAACAACAAAAAAAACTGGTGACCTGTCAAGAGCTGAATTTTAGATAGATGGTGTTGTAGCTCAATCATTACAAGCCCAACCATTCTCTGGAATTGTTCTGCCAGGGTTTGAATTCAGGCATTACCATTCAGTAGCCTTGAGACCACAAAATTTTTTAAGTAAGTTATTTTATTCATCTGTATTTAACTCATCCTATCTGTAAAATTCCATTATGGTAATACTTTCTACATAGCAAAAAAAAACAAACCAAACTTCACTGTCATCGGGTTGACTCGACTCATAGCAACCCTTCCTTGAGTTTCTGAGGAGCTATCTCCATGGAAGTAGATTGCCCAGTCTTTCTTCTAAGGAGTAGCTGGTGGGTTTGAACCACCAGCCTTCTGGTTAGCAGTCACATGTCTTAGTCAGTTGTTAAAAAACTTAAGTGAATTATTACATCAAAATATTCAGCTTAGTACATGGCATGTCATGAGCACCTTGTAAATGTCAGCTGTTGTTGTTAACATCATCCATCATCATCACCATCATTAGTTTTCATAAATTGTCATAAGGAATGAACATGTTGCTCCTTACCTCTTTGATACTTTGATTTTAAAAATGATCTGTATCAGTAGAATCATTTCCTTAATATATATCAGAATACCTGACCAAAGGTGATTTAAAAACTTTTAACACAAAGGTGATTACTGTCTGATTTAACAAGAAGCCCAAAACTTAAAACATTTTCTGAGTTTGCAGTAGGTCATAACTTTTTTCCTAGTTGCTGTCAAGTCAACTCACATAATGATCCCATGTGTTGGAGTAGGGGTTGTCATTATGGTGCAGTGCCTAAGGCATTTGACTGCTGACCAGAAGGTTGGCAGTTCAAACCCTCCAGCTACTCTGAAGAAGGAAGACGAAGCAATCTACTTCCATAAAGATTTACTGCCTTGGAAATCCAGTGGGGGTCGTTATGAGTTGGAATCCACTCAATGACAGAGGGTGGGTGGTTGTAAAATAGCTGCAGGAGTTCAATGTAGACAGAACCAGGCTCATTAAAGAATAGGGGCATCCCCCACACACAGACACGCACACACTTAGCTATTTATTAATAAATTAAAAAATTTCAGAGGCATCTAGTCAGTTTCAACACAGGTCTCATTAGCCATATTTGGGTCTCATGTCAAGTCTGAACCATTTAGAGACAAAATTAATAATGCCACATAATTGATTTATACCTAGCGGTTGGAGGCATTGTGAAATGTCACTTTAGTGGCCAGGAATGGCTCCGCCACCCTCTTCTAAAGCTAATTATTCCTAATTTTGTTTGTATTCTGAATATTTTACAAGTATTTAATGCTCAAATTTAAGGGTAGGGTCAGATTGTTGAGACTTGATTTCCAGAATTCATTTAAAATATTAATTACTTTCATAAACCATTTCCATAAATTGTCATAATGTAAGGTTCTCTCTTTTTATAATTAAAAATTTTTATTAAACTTACTGTACTGTTATTTTTGTTTTTTAAGTGAAAAGGAGACCTGGAAAACAGAGTCTGAAACAATAAAAGAGGAAAAGATAAAACTTGAAAATCAAATTCAACAAGATGCTGTAAAAATAAAAGAATATAATGTAAGTGAAACACTTTTAAGATCAGTATACGATACTGTGCAAACTGAGAGCGAGGTTCAACAAATAATATAAATATGTTCTTTGGCAGAATCTGCTTAATGCTCTTCAGGTGGATTCAGATGAAATTAAAAAAATGCTTTCAGAAAATAGTAGACGAATCACTGTCTTGCAAGTAAATGAAAAGTCACTAATAAGGCAGTATACAGCTTTACTGGAAATGGAGCGACAACTTAGAAAAGAAAATGGGAAACAAAAGAATGAATTGATATCAATGGAAGCAGAAGTTTGTGAAAAAATTGGATGCTTGCAAAGATTTAAGGTATATCTGATTTTTTATTTATTTGATTTTTATTCTAATTATAAGAATTTTCAAATATACAGAAGAGAGGATAGTATCATTAACATTCATCATCTGGATTAAAAATGAATGTTTATTAGCACTTCACCACAGTTGCTTCATCTCTTTTTTGTGGAGATATTTAAGTTGCAGACATTTCTCCCCTAAATATTTTACTGTGCATTTCTAAAACCTTAAGCCCTTTTTTTTTGTTTTGCCTAACCACAATACCTTTTATCACAGCTAACAGAATTAATAGACCATATACATACTGGTCTGATACTCTCCTCTGTCATTTAACTTGTTCCTTTATCCCTTGTATGTACTAAAATTTAGCTTTAAAGCCTTTATCAGATTCAAATGAAACATTTTTGGCAAGAATACTTTATAATAAGTGTTGCTTTGTACTTTATATTGTATTACTTCAGGATACATATAACGTCTCGTTGTCCTACGTTTTATGAATGAATATGGTGTTAAGAGGGAGATGGTTATATATCTCCATTATTAAGTGATTTACTTAACTGTTTGGTGATGTTTTGATACAATGCAATTGACCAGTTCTTTGTCATCCCTCCTAATGACTTTAGCAGTGATGATTGCTACCTAAGTCAATTCAATTATTTCACGATATCCACCAAACCAAACCCACTGCCACTGAGTTAATTCCAAATTACAGCAACCCTATAGGACAGGAGCTCTGGTAGCATAGTGCCTAAGGCACTTGACTGCTAACTAAAAGGCTGGCGGTTCAAATCCACCAGCCAATCCTCGGAAGGAAGGTTGGGCAATCTACTTCCATAGTGATACTGCCTCGGCACATAACAACAACAACATAGGACATTGTAGACCTGCCTCACATAGTTTCCAAAGGCTGTGAATCTTTACTGAAGTAGACTTCCTCGTCTTTGTCCTGAACAACTGGTGGATTTGAACCATCAACCTTTTTTGGTTAGCAACTGAAGGCTTAAACCACTTCCCCTCAAAGACTCCTTATGTATGTCACTGTTGTTGTTGTTGCTATGTGCAGTCGAGTTGGACCCGACTCATAACGACCCTTTCTTGGGTTTGAACCACTGACCTTCTGGCTAGCAGCCAAATGCCTTTTCCACTATACAACCTGCATAATATAGACCTGATGTTCTCTGCCTCTGCTGTTTTTTTTTCCCCCCATCAGCTTCCTTTTTAAAACACTGTGCTAAAGACTCAGAGTTTTAAATGGTCGTTATCCTTTGTCAACTTTGGCCAATGGGAGCCCTTTAAAGCTGGCTCCCATGTCCTCTTGACGAGTCCAAGAGCCAAGCTTTACTGTTTCTGGCATAACTGTGTATCCTAAGCTTACCTTATGTACTTCATTACCTCATTTCAAAATAGATTATAAACGTAAATTGTTTATTTTCCTCACATAAATTTGTTTATTCCTTCTTTATCAGTATCCACCAATCTTCACTGTACTTGTTTCTGTAATTTTTGCTTATCATAGAACTGCTTACTTGGCGAGAACTAAAAGCTCAGACTTTTCCTTTTGGTGTTATAGAAATATTGCAATGATTTTTTTTTTATAGCTTTATGATGGCAACTAACAACAGCTGGTGAGTAGAATGTAAATCAAATACATAACCTTGGTATTATTTATTACAGACAGCTAGGATGAAGAGTTTTTTCTTCCTAAGTAATGTTTTCTTCATGTGAAAAAAAGTTGTTTTCTCTTTTTACAAAGCTAGTCTAATTGTAATAAGCAGAAATAGTTAAACTTAAATATTGGCTATAACAATGCTAATTTTGGCATTCAGCTGTCAAAAGACATGAAATTAGTAAATGCTGTCCAAAGATACATTCTGAATTATATACTTTATTATACTTTTCTCAAATTAATTGAATTTCAGTTCATGATGACAGATTTATAAAAGGTATGGTAGGTTCACTTTTTAGGATTAAAGATTATGAAATAGTATTTCTCATATGAAAGAATTTAACTTTGTTGCTGTTGTTGTTGTTGTTGTTATGTGCCGTCGAGTCAGCCCCGACTCATAGCGACCCCTCCTTGGGTTTCCGAGGCAGTATCACTACGGAAGTAGGATTGCCCAACCTTCCTTCCGAGGAGTGGCTGGTGGGTTTGAACCGCCAGCTGTCTGGGTTTGTTGCTATAAATTATAAATGTTTTTCTTCTATGGAAAATGTTTTTGTTTTGAAAGTGGTTTTAAAATCTGTTTTGCCTATCTTTCACAAAAGTGGCTAGTGTTTAACCAGAAGAAAATGACAGCAAAAGAACTGTGTCCTTATTTACGTAGGAAATGGCCATCTTCAAGATTGCAGCTCTCCAAAAAGCTTTAGATAATAGTGTCTCTCTGTCTGAACTCGAATTGGCCAATAAACAATACAATGAACTGACAGCTAAATACAGGGACATCTTGCAAAAAGATAATATGCTTGTTCAAAGAACAACTAACTTGGAACACCTAGAGGTAAGTTTATGTGATCCTTAAGCCCTGTTATATTAGCCATTCTTTTACACTGATATCTTTGTTTTTCTTTGTGGAGAAAGGGTTAGCAGATTTTAAAATAAGGAAATTTATTTTAATTTAAGGGGTATCATTTGTAGATGAAATTTAGTTTTAAGTATTTTGTTCCTGAATAGTAAGACATACATATGGCATAGCATGCTTCTACAGTTGTGGTGTGACTTCTGGACGGCTTCATCCAGATCATCTTCCTTGGCCCACTGTCATACCTGAGCTAATCACCTCTTTTCACCAAGTACTTAAAAGAAAAAGCAGCATGTAATAGATTGGTTATTGTAATCAGTGGAGGATGTATCATTAAATAAATAACCTTTCTTACAACCCTGTTCCCAGAGTAAATTATTCTCATGGTCTTTGCATTCTGTTCCTTGGGTTCAGTGTGGCTGATGAGTTATTAATGGCTCTTCCTGGATCATGGATGGGCTCTGCAAGTCCTCTTCTTTTCTTACTGTAGAATAGAGTGAAGGATCATGGTTGCATTCATGCAGTCTGTAAATATGGCTCAGAACATTTTCCTGCTCTCTTGCCACTTGATATCCATACTTTTTCTGGTAGGCACAACAAGTTCTTAATTTGTTCATCTTGTACATATGATATGGGCTTATGTATTGTGGCTTATTCTTTTCTAAGATCCTCTTGTAGGAGTGGGATGAGATCTAATTCTGTCAGCTCAAAAACTTTTTCTTGCTTATTGACACGTATTCAATAAATCAAAACATTTTGAATATCTTTCAATGACTCCTATAAATTTATCATAGTCATTATAAATTAGGAGCTCTGGTAGTATAGTGCCTAAGACACTTGACTGCTAACCAGAAGGCTGGTGGTTTAAACCCATCAGCCACTCCTCAGAAGGAAGGTTGGGCAGTCTACTTCCGTAGTGATACTGCCTCAGAAACCCAAGGAGGAGTCACTATGAGTTGAGTCCGACTCCACAGCACATAACAACATTATAAACTAATGGTATCTAATTATAAGGAGCTTTGGTGGTGCATTGGTTAAGGCATTTAGCTGCTAACCAAAAGGTTGGTGGATTGAACTTACCAGCTACTCTATGGAATAAAGATGAGACAATCTGCTTCTGTAAAGATTTACAGCCTTGGAAACCTGATGGGGGTCACTATGAGTTGGAATTGACTCAGTGACAGTGAGTTTGTTTGTTTGTTTGTTTGTTTCTGAGGATTAATCATGGTCAGTTTATTTTTTACTATATTGCTAAAATGATGATTAGGCTAATGTTTATAGAAGATTCTGGACATTGAAATGTGGTAATAGCTTATTTTATTTTTGCCCATTCTTCTTTGTCTTTTTCTTCTCCCCTCTAGCAATAATAAGTAAATCTTGAATAAGAAATCTGTCATATCAATGAGAAATTATTAGTTTTATTTATTTTCCCATAGAATATTTTTCATCGTTCCTCTTTGGACAATATTAAAAACCCACTGCCATTACGTCTTATCTGACTCATAGTGACCCCTGCTTGGGTTTCTGAGTCAGTATCACTATGGAAGTAGATTGCCCAACATTCCCTCCAAGGAGTGGCTGGTGGGTTTGAACCTCCAACATTCTGGTTAGCAGTCAGATGCCTTAGGCATTACACCACCAGAGCTCCTCTTGGACATTATTAGTAACTTTTATTTTAAAATTACTTAACTATCCTAAGTATTAAAGAGGAAAAGAGAAAAAGATAAGTAGTCTTTCTGATTCTCAGGCTTAGAATACAAAATAGCATGTGATAATGCCATAAGGGAGACATAGAGAACATGCTGTTGGATTTTAGAGAAAGAAGAGGTTATTTCTAATTTGGAGGAAGAAGTGTAGTTTATGCTGAACCTTGGAGTTTTAGCATGCAGATACAGGTTGGAGTGGAGAAGACTATTTTTCTTAGAGGTAAAATCATAAGCAAAGGTAACAGATAGAAAAATATGGAGTAAGAATTTCATTTTTCCAAGTGTTGTATATCTGAGTTTAAGTGTAAAGCAATGGGGCAAATCACAAATGACTGAATTAGTTTAGAATAGTTTGGATAGGTACTGGGAAGTCCTTGCATATTTTTGAACAGGGAAATAATATGACCAATAATGTGAGATTCTTATGACCAGAACATAAATGTGATTATGTGTCTAGTCACTGAGCCTTCCATCATTTTGAACCTTTTAAAAAATGCTGATACATTTATATTTTAATCTTCATCTTTTCATGTATGCACATATATGGTAATTACTTATTTCAAGACAATCTATTTAGTGTTGTGTTCCAGTTATTGTAACTGTGCATAAAAAAATCACCTCCAAAACTAGTGCATACAACAGCCATTTAATTATACCCATAGAATCTGTAGGCCAGGAATTCAAACCAGGACAGAGGATAGGTAGCATAAGCATCTGACACCTGGGCTGGAATGTCTTGAAGGCTGATTGTCAGCTAGGACTGTTAACAGAGTGGCTTTATGTATGTGGTGTCTCTACATGCTTAAACTTCCTCGTGGCGTGACATTTTCAGAGTAGTTGAACTTCTTAAATTGCCACTCAGTGCTCTAGCACTAGTGTTCTGGTGAATAAGCTATAAGCAACATCACATCCTCTGATTTAGCTTTGGAAGTAACATAGTGTCATCCTCCTCTTACTTTATTGCTCAAAGCAGACACAGGCTATTTGGATTTAATAGGAGGGACATTGCCTCTATCTCTCAATAAGAGGAGTGCTAAAATTGTGTGACTTTTTTTGAGACTGCTGTAACTGCTGTTTTCTCGGAAATCTCTGCCTGGCTGATTTACAGCTACCTCTGTGTATATTTGAGGGTCAAAATGTACCCTTTATCCCAGACCCATCAGCCAGAAGCCTATTAGTTGTGTTGTATCTCTTTCTCTCCTACACTTCCTACATCTCAGGTATGATTCTAAACGTTTCATATCCAAGATCCCTGGGTGGTTGACTACTAACTTAAAAGGTGGCAGCTCAGACCCACCCAGCAATGCTGTGGAAGAAAGGCCTGGCAATCTGCTTACAAAGAATACCCAATAGAGAAGTTCTCCTGTGTCACACATAGGGTTGCCATGAATCAACTCATTAGCAGCGAGTCGGTTTGTTTCTTTCTTATCCAGTAAAACAATGCCTTAGTTTTATTTTTCATTACCTTCATTGTGATGGCTGTAGCTCCTGTCCCTATCTTCAGTCTTACCTCTTTCTTACTGCTACCAGAATAGTCATTCTAAACCTGAAACTAAATGTGTCACTCCCTTTCTTAAAACTTACCAGAAGCTCCCAGTCACCTAAAGGTTAAAGATTAAGTCCATCTTGTAAATAAGTCCCTGTGGTGGTTAAGGTTGTGTGCCAGCTGGCTGGGCCTGGTTGACAGCCACTAGCTGTCTGAGTGAAGAGTTGCCTCTAGCTTCAGTGGGCTGGGAGCAAGAAGCAGAGCTGAAACCCAAGCTTGAGAGGCTTTCACACAGCCCTTAGAGCCTGGCACTGTGAACTTGGACTTCTAGCCTCCCAAACTGTAAGAAAATAAACTTCTGTTTGTTCAAGCCATCCCATTTGTGGTATATTCTAGGTAACCAGAATGTATATGGTATATTCTAGGTAAACCAGTCCCCTATTTACTTCATGTCAACTCCTGCTTTAAGGAGCCTCACTATCAGTTATCTGCAACACAGATACCAGGAGTTTCTTTCATATATTCTGTTGTACATACTATTTTCTTTACCTACAAAGGTCTCCCGAGTTTGTCTGCTCAGTGAATCTATGTTCATCTTTCAAAACTTGTTCAGATGTTACCTCTTTTTCTGACACCATCACATGTTTGTGGTCCTGTTTGCGGAACAAGTCACTTATCTGCATATACTTGCACATAGTTCTGCTCTTTATATCATATCCCATTAATTGTGATTATACATCAAGGCCTAAGGCATTTGACTGCTAACCAGAAGGCTGGCAGTTCAAACCCACCAGCCATTTCTTGGAAGGAAGGTTGCACAATCGACTTCTGTAGTGATACCACCTCGGAAACCCAAGGAGGGGTCGCTATAAGTCGAATCTGACTCGACAGCAGTGCATTTGGTGTTTTTTTATACATCAAGAGACTATGAATCTCTTAATATCAGGGATTCTTTTATTTTTATGTGTTTAGTACCTCATGTCTGGAGAGTTAGAGCTAATAAATGTTGAACTGAGAGAGTGAGTATTAGTATAGAGGTACAGTATAAAGATCATTAGATATGGTGATTAGAAAATGATCGATGTCTTTGAAAATAAAGTTTGATCAGAATAGACATGAAAATTAGATTTCAAATGCAAAAAGTAGGGTAATTAAGAAGGAAATAGAAAAACTGGAAATTTTATAGTAGAGAAAAAGAAATAGAGCTGGAGTGAGATAGTCATAGGAGGACTTTTTGTTTTGTTTTTAAATAAAGGTAACCAATGAAGTTTATTGAGGGGGAAAAAGGAAGTTTAGAGCTAATAAGGAGAGAAAGATTGAAGATTAGAGGTGATAGTGGTAATAAGTAGAGTGGCAAGATACCAGGTAGGTTGAAGATGGAAATTTGAGCAACACAAGGTTATCCTTAGAGGCTGGAAGGAAGAAAATGAATGAATAGAAAGATACATAAAACATCCTCATGACTTTTACTTTTTCATCCTATATACTTCCGTAGTGATAACTGCCTCGGAAACCCAAGGAGGGGTCTCTATGAGTCGGGGCCGACTCGATGGCAAATAACAACAACAACAACATATATTTACATAAAGTTTTCCAGTGATATCACAGTGCTTCACTGCTTATTCTTGTGGTTTTTAGTGGCCTATTTTTCCAGAAGTGGATGGCCTCATCCTTCTTTCCAGCCTGTCTTAGTCTGGAAGCTCCAGTGAAACTTGTCCAATATGGGTGACCCTGCTGGTATTTGAAATACTGGTGGCATAGCCTCCAGCCTCACAGCAACGTGCAAGCCACCACAGTACAACAAACTGACAGAGGAGTGAAATAGAGAACAAGGGAATACTGGATGGTTGAAAATCAGGAAAGGCTTTTGTTAGGGTTGTATCCTTTCACCATACTTATTCAATCTCTACACTGAGCAAATAATCCAAGAAGCTGGATTGTAAGAAGAATGTGGCATCAGGATTGGAGGAAGACTTATTAACAATATGCATTATGCACATGACACAACCTTGTTTGCTGAAAGATGGCTTGAAGCACTTACTGATGAAGATCAAAGACTACAGTCTTTGGTATAGATTATACCTCAATATAAAGAAAACAAAAATCCTAACAACTGGACCAACAAGCAACATCACGATAAATGAAGAAAAGATTGAAGTTGTCGGTTTCATTTTAGTTGGATTCACAATCAACACCCATGGGAGTAGCAGTCAAGAAACCAGATGTTGGATTGCACTGGGTAAATCTGCTTCAAGGTACCTCTTTAACATGTTAAAAAGCAAAGATATCACTTTGAAGACTAAAGTGCGCCTAACCCAAGCCATAGTATTTTCGATCACCTCATATGTATGTGAAGCTGGATATGAGTGAATAAGGAAGACCAAAGAAGAATTGA